CAAGTAACGTTAAAGTGCATGCGGCCTTCACACTGAGCTCAGTTCAACGTCGGATCAGTTTAATGAATACAATTCGATTCATCTTTATTAAATAGCCGGAAGAAGGATTGTGGCTACATGTGGTGGATCCTCTACATAAGAGAGCTCGCTATAATCTCTATGCCTGGCAGGAAGGTTGAGATCGCAATTTAAAAGGTCCTGGTTTATCAGAGAGCTACGTACGTGTCAAAAATATATAAATATATATTATTTTTATTTCATTCGTAATAAAATGTTTGTTAACTTCGGAACTACTTGACCCTTTTCTATTCCCATCATATCGATATCTTTCTACCTACTTAATTGTAACATAGCGTGTCAGAAGCGAGCTAAGAAAATAAGACACGTAACGAGAGATAATTGCTCGTTCCGTATAATATTCATTTATAACACATAATTAGATGAACAAGTATAATATCTTAGTATTTACACAGTTGCTTCTAGGAATACCCATAATTACTAGTTATTATAACCATCTTAAGTATGTTTTAAGACTGGGAAGTTGTTGACTGGCTAAGTATTTGAAGACATTTAAATAAGCAATTTATTCTACAACTTTGTAGTTTTAGTAAGTACGATTGCTAAGCCAGAGATCTTTAGTTTTACAGACTGTTACCGAGTCATTTTATATACCGTTTACAAAAAGGCTCGTCCTCTAGCTAATAAATTTGGTATAGCGTAAAAAACTAATAACAAATGCAGCGAAAATGAGTTTAAGTACTAGTAGGGTCTGCCTACAAGTTCTAGGAATAACAGTTGTGATCACACTACAAAAACAAGTTAGTAAGACTAAGTTCAACAAACGAGAGACTGCATTGAGTGATAAATCCAATTGCATGTTCCTCTAAACATGAGTCAAGACAAACCACAGTAAAAATACTTTGCGTTCTAAAATGGTACCAGTTACATCTTTTTATGTACATACGTACATAAGAGACGCAAAACAATTCCAAACTTGGAGAATGTTTACCAAGAAATATATAAGTATATATTTTTTTTTGCAATAATAGGTAGGTACATTATTTAATCTAGTGCGGTGTGCCAGATTTTAACAAGCATACGGAATCAATCTTGTTAAACATTAGATCTATTATTTTTTGAGAAAAAGACCTATAAAGTGTATTTTGCCAAAATAACGTACTAGAAAAATTCAATCGAAGAGTTACAATTTATAAGAATTTATGATGACGGATAGATGGATGTGTTTGTTTTAAAAATCCCACTCAACATAAACCATTACGTTTTCTTACATAAAACTAAGTTTTGACCGTGAATCGCAAGTAAAAGATATGCGTATTTCTTTATTTATATGTATATTCTATACATATACAGGTATTGTATTTATTTGTTATAGGTGTATTATATTTACATTCTTTTTATATGTAAGTGATATGCTTGCATTTATTAATATCTTTAGTTTTAAGTCTGTTTTCTATGTCAATTTTCTATTTGTTATTACACACTGTCTTATATCATAATTACTTTTTCTGCCATCAGTCCACAGGAAGAAATTCCAATACTTTGCACTTCAATAATATAGATATTATATGTGTTGTCCTTTATGTTGTATGTGCGTTGTACATAAATAAACAAATAAAATTTAAAACGCCTAAAATGTGTCTGAAACTCTTTTTTGGTCCTCCTTTTTCACACTGAACTAAAAGTACGTACTTCGCAATTTTCTATGATCAGTACATTCCACTATGCATCCTCTGTCTGTAACCCCGCAAAAAAACAAAAAAATTGTTTAACCCTACATTGATATGATGTAGGTACAAACGGACCATGACCTACTTTAACATCAGATTTTCATCCCGGAATCTCGCAGATTGTTTGGTTATTTAGGTACTAGTTTAAATTTGTTTTATAGTTTGTTGCTTACATAATAATCATTATATAGAATACTCATCAAGGTGTATTAATCTAAGTACAAGTCATGGTCAATCATACAAGGTCGTGGTGTGAACGTCTTTATACACGTTTGTTAGCAAAAAATACATTTCGGTGTTTTAATAATCTATTTACGTATACTTTAAAGTGTAGTACATAATTAAAAGAGGGCCTAATGTTTAATTGAGAGGCAAATATTTACGTGGATCTTTGTTTAAAGTGTTTTAGTGTGGAAAATGGAACATTTCAACCAACATAATATATTCTATAACATTTATTTGCGTGGAAGAAGTTCTCGTTCAGGGAATTGTCAGAAGTTTATATATCATTAATTTTTAAAATTAGCTAACTATTCATTGAGTTACTGGTCCGTATTATGTAAATGTTTTGCCTTCTGCTTCCATTATTACTTAATTTTCATCGGTTTTCGCACTAGCCACAAGGGCGCTCAGGTCACCTTTTATTATACGTACCTATTCCTTAGAAAAAAGTATTTTATTACAACATAATTACATATTTATGTATTATCCAATTTTTGTGTTTCCACGCGAATTCGACTTGAATTTAAATGTAATTTTTCCGTTTATTTTTATCTAACTTTCCTTATTTTACCGTAAATAAGGAAAAGGGTGTATAAGTCCCATCCCCACTGACGACGGTTGATAAGAATTGTCTTGAGAGTTGCTGGATACGATGAATGAAAAAAAAACCAGTCGAAAACACGGTAATCAATCAATACTTTTTAGAACATTTGAACTGAAAACAGATATCGCACTCAGTAGTGGAATTTAGGACCATAAACCTCGAAAAGTATTTTCAACAATTATAAGAAAAAAGAAAGGCCTGAAAAAAGGTTCATAGCATAAAAATTGTATTTGTCACAAAGATGTCTACATAACATACACCTTAACACATTACATTTACAAAATATTTATATTTAGAACATTGTGATGGGTTACACAAGACTGGCCCATATGTGCGGAGAGCAAGCAATTTCTCTCAGCTGACATTTACATCAGATGTGGGTAGATACAATCGACGCTCCCATTCAGTTTCAGCTCGGCAGTGGCATAAACAATGCACTATTTATAGATACGACAGTATCTATAGCCAGTAGGTACCTAGAGACACTCAAAGTAACACTTTAACTTCATATAAAATGATAGTTATTAAAAACCTTTTCGTGGTCTTGAAAAAACTGATACATTGTTCTCATAATAACTGTCGTGAGACATACTAAATTAACTAAAAATCGATCGCAGCGATATCGTACAGTAGTCTGCGCGACATCACCACGACTGCGCACGTTCCTCATGAGGAAGAGCCTCTTTGTGGCTCGAAAATAGTAGAGCTTTTCTCAGTATATTCACGTGAGTAACCAGCGATTTTAGTTAAGACAGATACCTCCCACAACCCCATTCCCGGTTGCGGTTAGCAGGCCGAAAAAAACGATTCTGCTTATAATCAAAACAGGAGACTTCCATATGAGACATCAAATAAGCGAATATGAAATACCGAGCCAAAAAAGAAATGGACAAAAAATACTTCATTAAGTACACAGATATTAACAGACTAACCACCATTACTGACGGTAATTAACCTTCTGTAGTCAATATCATAGAAGGGCATATAATATTAGACATAGCCCCATCAGGGTCTACGTTTCCTCGAGGGGGAAACGATGACCATGAGAAAATGGCGAACTATCTAGATACTATAGTACTCACACATAATACCTAAGCACAAAAACTTTACTTATTATTTCAGAAGTTCGTACAAACGTTGTAGGCGTTATATTTCAAAGCTAAACGTGTACAAAGAGGTTTTGCATGTCACACGTACATTATAGAAGATAAGAGTTTCCAACAAAGGTGAGCTCTTGACATGAATACTTGTTGAATAACTACATTTCTTATACGACTTCTATATGACCTAATGGTCTGTTGATAAGCTCAAGCCATGAACTTTGTACTATATACCTTATAATAGAGAGTGATTATAGACTTTGTATAGCAAAGTACGTATCAGAACTGCTTTGTAATCCATTATCGTGTAATAGAATTTCTATATTACACGTGTGTTGGGAGTTTAGGAAAATTTAATAAGTTTCGTTTATAAAGTTTGTATAACAAGTTTGGAGTAAGTGTAAGTAAGAATAATACGAGGTAACCTTGTCTTGAAACCTAAATCAGTCTGTGATCATAAAGTTGTTCTCTATGTAGCTCAAGCTCACTTTAAAAAAATCTCAAATCAGCTAATAAAGGAACTCACCGAGAATTTAAATCACAAGTCCTGCATAAACTTTATGAGAACAGAAAAAAAAAGAATTATAAGTGAGATGGAATATAAGATTGCAAAATGATACGATTAAAATTGGAAGGCTTACCATTACAAAGACAACGTTGATTTAAAGAGAAAAGTGCAAGCATACAAGCTGACCAAAATAATATCCGGTAACATTACTCATAACGACACGACACTAACCTTTAATACTTACCATAATAAACAAACAATTACATAATAGAAGTTACGCCAACACATACACATGAATAATAAACTACGTCACCGCAAACAAGCAAACATGCACGTGCAAATAGCATAAAGCGATCATAGAAAGAATGCGCCTCAATACTCTATACTTTTTAAACACAACATGGAGAAAAATGACGTTAAAATGTTGTGGAAATATGTAGGTACGTGATCGCATCCTTTCTATGCAAGCACTAAGTCATAGTAGGTAATAAGCGTGCAGACACTCGCACGTGATATTTTCAGCACCGCAACTGCACTTGATAGTGATGGGTCACGTTTATTTACATTGCGATACACGCAATTAACTCGACTCAAAACGATCATCGAAGACTTTCCCGATTAATGATAAATTACCCGAATGGCGTTTCTAGAGGGATTTGCATGGACGGAAACTAAGTAGATTGTACATCCGATCACGTGTATAATCGGATTTTGGCATTAATCTCGTTACTAAATATATTACCTACGCAATTTCGAGTACAACTTTATCGTAACAGTTACCGTGCCGAAAATAACAAGTTACTAAGCCATGGACGTACATTAGACGTGACAATGATGGCCGCCGGACCTAGCCCCATGACCAGATAAAGGAGCAGCTCCAACATCTTGTATCTCTCGTGGAAGATCTGTTGGTACGTGATGCCGAGGACAGCCAGCAGCCAGATCACCCACCGCAGTTCCCTGAGCATCCAGCAGGAGAGCGTGCCGACCGTCAGCCACGGGAAGTAGGAACTCGCGATGAATATGTAAATCATTGCCCGGTCGCAACGGTGCAGGAAGTGTTTCATTTTACTGTGAAATTTAGTTTGCATTTAGCACATACATTTTAGTATACGTTACATTAGAATACGCAAGCTAGATTTGATGGTGCGATAAGCTAATTAATTAATTACTTAGTGGATTAGCAGAATGAGGACATTGGCATGTCGATATTAAGACTAAAGTTGCAAAATATGGACACCAGTTTGTAGCTTCTGTAGATTAAGTTTTACGTTGCCGAATGCATAAATATGCACATGAATCACTAGTGTAAAGTTCAATCTCATATGTTGACTCACACAGATACAGTTATTTATTATTTTTACAATGAATTATACATAGATATCTAATGCGATGATGTACTGTTTGTGTAATTTGTGTATACTGTAAAATTATAAGGAATCAAATTTGAATCCCAATCTCGGAATAAGTCGTACAAGATTTTTACATGGTGCGAACGTTTTTCCCCAAAGACAATCCTTCTTTTAATAGATAATATTTCTGTCCAATAGCGTTAGGGTTAAAATCTCGTCCAAAAATAAGCCTACTCATCTCAATGTCTACAAAGCAAGACTTGACATAGTGACACGATAGCATTCAACCAAACTATGGCCGCTGACCGAAGCGCTGCTATGCTGGCAAGAATACCTACGTAGAATTTTTAAAAGACTGGTTAAAAGAACTTAAGCTGGAATCGGTACTTAAAACAAAAATGGAAAACATCTAGAGCAACACGACGTTTATTATTTTGGTGTTTATGTACAAATGTCATGGATTTTAATGAACAACGTAAAAGAACACAATTTTCACGAACTTTTTAATAGTTGGAACTTACAAAGGGAACCTCACAAAGCTAGCAATTGTAGCCTCTTTGTCAAATGCAAAAGTTTTTATTTTCTGAAAGGAGGGAGGTCGCAATTTACTCTTTTAATTTAAAGAGTAACACAACAATAGTGTCCGTGCAATTGAATTGTTAGATACTCTTTGGAATGCGATACTTGAATGCGAACACACATAATAATGTGCCTAAACATAGCATTTTCCTTTCCGAAAATGAAGACTTACGACTGAACAAACGAAATTATTTAATAAGCGCTAAGAATTTTTAAATAACTTTTCCCGTAAAACTAATCTAGGACTTCATAGACTGATAGAACAGAAATGGATCTTTAAAAGGCATGGAAACCGAGCGTCGTAAAATATTCAATTACCTGATGGCTAGTGTAACAGGAGGTTCGCCACCATTATGGTCATCGTATCGACTCGCTATCTGATATACCTGCGAGTAAGTACATCACGACATGAACCATAGTTCCACGTGAATTAATTCATGTCGAAACGACACACGAAAAAGAACCAATAAAAATAAAAACGGCATGCTGCTTTTTATCACTAAGACATAAACCAACGGTAAATGTTCCTAATAAAATATTCAAACGATTGCATGTTTTAAAACAACAATGGTCGACTATGTAATTTGTGTTACTTGTGTATCTTTGGTTTTGTTGACCTCTGGTACCAATCGACCCAATTAAACAAACGTTACACACAGCGGAAGGGGATAACTTTACAGAAGTATACGTCTTTTGAGAAAAATATTGGACAAAGTAACATACCTGACTGATAAATGCATAAACCCGGTCGAAAGTCCAGTCGAACAAAGAATATTTCCATTTTTCTTTCATAAAAGAATTGACACCAGTTTCAATATAAGATAAAAGTCTGACCTTTTGTAACCAAATCAATGTCAATAAATGATTGACTTGGGGTAAAGAAAAATTGGAAATACATATTGAGTTCGGCCTGAATTTGAAATTGTTGGGGTTGTTCAAATATGAATAAAGTCTAGACTTGGGTGTCGAAGATGGGTTTACCTTAAATGTCGACACTATCGAAGACCCAAATCTCCAGTTGTCCAATAATATAGACTTTTTATTGTTGTCGACAAAATGTGTATTTTGTCCCAGGGATCTAAAGACGTCTATTGCGAAATTTCCTTTCATCATCCTCAATCTTGAGCGGAAAACTTTAAATTCAATTGAAGTGATCCATCTTTGCGTATTCAGCGCCCACACAAAGCGCTAATTCAAATCCGCACGTCGAGCGTTGGTACGTCTCAATAACCTAAACGGTTGGTCTTAGCGTAACAAGCTACTTCCTGCGAACGACCTTGCTTCCAGTACATGAAGCCTTACCACTTATAGCACAGTTGCTATTTATAAAAACACCCTTCATGAAACCATGTCGTTAACAGGTATTTGTTTAACTAACCACCGTTTGCCCCTTGACCTAATATTTGATAACTTACGATTCCTAAGATATTTGAAAATTCTTTATTACACTAATTATTTTTCAGTGTAATGCGGACAAGTTTTTATGAGTACATATGTAGAGTTGAACGCACTTAAAATTGTATTTAGTGACCCAGAAAAGGGATTTAACCGGGCTTAGTTTACGAAATCTGGGTCTCAAATGTAAGTGGGCTTGTTTACTTACAGACGAGACTTTCTTCATTTTAATATAAAAATATGCCAGACTTATCAAAATACAACATTAATATCCCTTGATTCTATTTATATCAGTACCTAAATCTAATTTCGTCAGAGCTTATATCGACAGGGAATCTTGTTACCGTGATAAGAATAGGAATATTTGAGCGTCTTTGATCTTTTCTTATTTCTAAAATTATCATCAATAATGCTGACAAAAATCTTATACTACTTAAAGTAATAAGAGATCTATCAACCCCTAAATAAGTACTTGTAAAAAGAATCATTTTTACACCATATATTCCGGAATGTCACATAACTATCACCTTCCTGTCACTCAATCAATTATTTTGTTAGATCAACATCCTAATTATAGTGTCCAACAATCGATCAATCGTGTCAACACATAGTTGAACAACTATCATTACCGTGAGCGATAAAAGTGTAATGTTAATGGCATTATTGAATTCATATCATTACATAGTCACAGGTTATGTAGGATACCGGGCGGTTGACAACAAAAATATACCTACCGCTTAGTAAAACGATCAACATCGTTCATTGAAATTACACTGTCATTTATCATTCAATACAAATGTCAGTCATTTGTAAACTTTCCGAAGGAAATTACAGTCTGTTTATTTACTTTATTTATTAAGCAATTCAAGAAAGTACCTTCCTTTCTGTACTGCAGTAGCAAATAAGTTAGGCAAACGTTATCAAGGTTTATTTTTTAAGAATTACTGAATCTATTTCAGTGGAAGAACGCTTTGTTTTTTTATATTTAAATCCGGCTTCGGCATTGATCCAAAATTATCCAGCCCTTCTGTAAACATGTACTATATATAGAACGCTACGTAAGACCCGGTCCTTTGTATCAATCCCATCTCTGTAATAGTTTATACCAGGATTAGTCTCTTTGAAGTGCCTTGAGCTGTTGCAACCCTCGTGTTTGCTTGTTTCAGTGTACAGTGTACGTTCCCGCTCTCTCACTAATTTTAAAGGCATATCTGTATGTGACAGAATTTTCCACTCCACAAAGAAAGAGAAGATAAAGTTTTCTTTAAAGCAGCAAAAACAAATAAAACACAAGCCAGCCACTTCCGAAAATAACTTCAGGAAGCACAACACGTAACTTTATTAAAGTTATGATGAATTAGTGTATTAAATTACCACATCTAAAAAACAACGACGTACGCCCAGAGGAAGAGCGAAAATACCTTTATCGTGTTACTTCAATAATAAAAGCTAATATAAATTCTCGGAAGCGTCTGAATAAAATGAGGAACCTAAATATAGTATTCAGTAAATAGAAACCTTTTTGCGAAGTCCCGAAGCGGCAATAAATGTATAATTCACTGAAACAATTGGGCAAAACGAGAAGGCGTGTGAAGTAGGGAACATTATGTGATAATTGCAGTCCGTGCCTGCTTGTAAAATAGCCCGCTGTTTTCTTTATAAAGCTAAAGTTTGTTTAGAAATGTATTCACTACAACGTCCGTTTATTATGTTGATAACTGGCGTTTAAAGTTATTGAAACAATATGCATGTCTAGTCTATAAAATGTAATGTCTGTAACATAATTTTTAATGTCTGTCGTTTACTAATTCTAAATCGTAATCGTTACCGTAAATAATAAATAAATGATGAACTGGATACACACGGTCCAGTTATCGTTTATTTATTATCTGCACTTCCCACTGGGTTCCGCTTTACACTTACTGATGAAATAACCGCTTTTAAAGATTTACATAATTGTAAACGATCATTTACTAATATAATTACGTACGAGTCCCTGTCATCCCTCGACGCCTCAACTAACCACACTAGGGCTTTCAGGATAATTGTTCTAACTCTACAGAAACTATTATTAAATAACATATCCACTTTACTGCTTCAAGTGAATATAAATTCATACACATTTGAATACAGCCTTGGCTGAGCACCAGTGTACGAAATAATCTAATAAATCACAGACAATTTTGGGAGAATTGTTAGAAAATGGTGAACGACGGCCACTTTACCTATGACAAAAAATAAACAACAGTTTTTAATATTGTGATATACACACGAAAAGTCGAACGTGTAATCATATGATAGAGGTATTGTTAGGTATTCGAGACTACAATAAGGAAATTGGCAATATTACGACCACTCGAATCGTCTTGATGAAGACGGGTTATTTTTTAATCTAGTATGCTGTCACGGGCATCAACAAGGGTATCTACGAGTTAAGTGGCGATAAATCAGCTGCACGTCTAGAGGATACTGGAATTAGCTTGTCAGTCTATCCAGAGTTATAGCACCAATAATAAGATTGAAAAGAAATGCTTCAAAGACAAGGAAAATATAGATTTAATTAGTTGAACCGAAGATATATAGGTAGTAGTTAAACGATGGATTATTTAACGGCGCCATTGGTGGTCGTATACCATCTTAATATGATTAACGATCCACAGATGGCGAGACTATCTAAATTGGCGCCCTTCCAATCATAGCCATCAAATAAAATTGGCTATTATTCCATAATTTACATTGTACGACGTCTAGGAGAATAATTCTAATATTACTCACAACACATAGATAGGTTAAGGCACAGGTGATATTAAATAACTCATTAATAAGTTAGACTTGCTCTACATCACACCTTTGTATCGCATCATATGAACTTTGCCAACTTTAATAATAATCTTGGGAGTTGTTCATCATTTTCCAAAGGGCAACGGCTTATTGCTAATTCAGATTACCCTTCAACCTTCGTATCGGTTCATTGAATTGATTAGATTAGCGTGGATATAAATTGGCATCTTACTGGAGGAAGCGAATCTAGAGGAGGAGTTCCGAAACCTAGTTGCTTATTCATGTATCATTCCTTAATTTGTTACGAGTTCTATCTGCGAATGTATGATTAAGAACAACAAGAATTTTAAGTATAATATTATTTTTTTCTATACGGGAAGACATTTTAAAATGAACTTGTCGTGACAACAACAGCTGTAATTACGCTTTTATGTTCTCCAGTTCCAGCTTTCTTTCCGGACAACAGCAGAAAATATTTCCCTCAGATCTTTGTAAAAGATAAAACAAGGCAGCCACAATGCCACAAACAATCATGACGCTATACTACACTCGTTGGTAATTACAAGTCTTTGCCAAAATGTGGCGCTTGACTTATTAAAGGCTAATTAAGCTAATTAGGTTCGTAAAGGTTTTAATTTCAAAGATTTCACATTGAAAATTCCGTTGATTAACTAAGAGGGAATGTAAATATGAATGTGTAGTATTCCTTGCATTCAGTTCTGACCTTGGCCTAATTAATCACGGCATCCATCCCCATCCGATACGGTCGGGAATTTATGCTTCAATAAATAGGAAATTTACACCGGCTGTATAAAGTTTTGTCAGAACTGGGGCACGTGTAGCACATGGTGTCGGTACGGCACCAATTTCAAAATTGCCTTGGGACATGTATTTCTGATACAAATATCCTTCAACACTAGTCACGAAACGTGTATCATTTGTGTACTTGTTCTGACATTTCAGACACCTCATTAGGTAAGTTTGTCATAACATTGTTAGAGTAACTTTGGACAACTTCGGACATGAATGTCCTCTTGATCAAACGAATATTCGTCAAAATAAGTTTAGCAGACTACGCTGAACTTGTTATTGTGTACGTGTATGCAGACACCACTGTAGGTACTCGGCTCCTGTGTTATAATACTGCGATGAAATAGGACGTGAGACGGTAACTTGAAACAAGGGCAATCAGACGCAGGAACAGCTTTTCATACTGTGTGAGACAATGGCTGAATGCTGTAAAACTTCAAAACTTCGGTTTGTTGCTATTCTTACTTATTCTATAATCATACATCTCATTTTCAACAACGTAAATAACATGTGTACGTATGTACGTACACGATAGTTTTGAATTGTCAACCTGATAAGTCCACGGGTACGGGAAACATGATCAAATTGAACAAGGTACCTTTCAATTATCACGGCAGCGTTTAACAAAGGGTTATCTGTTAGATTTAATTAGAGGCCTGGGATAGTTGTCAGTAATATCCACTATAATCCCACAAGACCTATTCATCAATAGAAGTTAACTCATCCGATGTAAGTACTTAAGTATCTTTTGGGATTCGCGAAACTAATAAGTATTCATGAAAATAACTTAATACGATTCCTTTTATTTAGTAGAGCAGAACATAAACCCACCTACGTAAATATGAAAGATTAAACCTGAATATTCCCTTTCCCTTCTAATTTTTAGGCGGAAAAATACGTTCGATCGCTTATAATCGAGGCCAGCCCCACATTACACCATAAAATACGGGGTGGGTCATTGCAAAGATATGTAAAGAGGGCAAGTCGTTTCTTAGTGTACGCCATCCGCTACTTTGCTGGAAAAACTTAGGCGCAACGGCCAAAGTTTTCACGAAACTTCCCAACTTCTACCATTACTTTTACTACAAGTAATTGAAAGTATAGAGTTGGCCCTTTTGAGAAGGGGCGTGATTACTGAACGAGAAAATAATTTAAGACATCAAAGGATTTACAAGGCGTTAAGGATTCTAAATGTCAAATATCTAGGTTCTGAGGGATCCTTGAGTGGTGTAAAAGTCAATATTGTATTGAGTTGAGCAAGCACTTGAGGTAGAATTTATTTAACTTTATTGGGAGCAATTTCGAAGACATTTTTATTTCGAAAATATTATGCGAATGGTTGATGAAAGTAAAGTCATGGTAGTCTACATACGCGTGCACGTGCTGTTATCTAAATTTCCCTATATTTACCATCTATATCAGGTTACTTGCAACTTTAGTGTTAATAACTTTGGTTTCAGTACGATTTATTTCTGTTCTAGCTAAGCAGATCGTTTGTTTTTTAGTATTTAACTAAGACAGATTTCAAGCGATGGAATGCGGTTAAGCATAAAGTACTCAATATTCTCAACTCACGTGTCGGACCTGCAGCAGCATACAGAGTGAAAGGTGGTGGACACCGCGAACAGTAGGCATAGTGCAAGCCCATAGACGACTGCAGCAATCGCTTGCGGTGCATTGACGGAGCGCGTCAGCAACTCCCGCGCACCCAGTGATGCAGGGGCGACGCATAGTGCGTGTGTGCACACGTTCGCTACATTTTCAACCTGGTAACAAAAACAGAAAACCATAAGGAAAAAATATAACTCTTTCTATATACCGCTTGGTATTCAGTGGCCTTAATGTCAAAATTCCCAAGCATGCTTGAATTATTACAGTACAGACAACACCTCGCAAGACGCGGTAGGTGTAGCTACAATGTAATTTTGGTTAGGTAACCTACTACATAGTACCTGTTGTATACCTCGTGTTGGACGAATAAAGTCGATTTTTGGCCGCGTCACAAAAATAGGTACAATTTCGCCAGTCATAATAGTCGTGGGAGTATTTCAGCTACCAAATTGAATTTTTATCTGGACAGCTGTCGTTTACGTTCGTTGGCCATTCCAGTTTCCTATAAGTTTAATAAAATCTTGAATGGCGTAGGCCGTACGTTGTCGTCAGTAAGATAAAATATGACAGGCATTCAAGCCTATTTCAAACGCATGATTATAATAATTCAATTGAGTACAACTATACTTTTGGATGTTTCTTTGATCCATCGAACCACATTTCCCAATAACATTTGAGGAAAAAGTTATAAAACCTTTACTTCCTTAGAAAATATATTTTCTTTAACGTAGGTACAGGGAAGTAACATAAAAGTGAATTATCTCGTTATAGTAAAAGAAATTTATGAATCCCTCAGGAGAGAAGCGACACTCCCACACCGTAAAGGCCATTCCTGTTTTGTAATAGTTAAATTATAATATCGTACCTTTATTGCAATTCAGCATTCAGGAGGCTTACTGATTTTTAAAACGCAAGAGTTGATAATACCGAGCAGCGTGATTCAATCGCATAATCATTTCAAGTTGCTGGTACTTAAATTAAAAAACTGCAGCAAACATCGAGTTTATACAGCATTTCTTTTAGTTTATGAAGTTGATATTAGCATAGTTTAATAATAGAAAATGGAACACCGTTTAAATTGGATCAAGTAAGACACATTGGATCAACGTATAAGCGCGTTCCGCTCATCGCTAACTGGCTTACTGACGGGTAGAGAGCTCGCAGTTATTTCTACAAAAGTATTAAAAATTCCTTCGCTCCGCTAGAGACATTTGTCAAGAAAATTACAATTTCCTTTTTCTAGATGATAGGAGCCAAGTCATTCGAAATAAGTTTAATTTGAAGCGATTAAAATATGAAGTGTCATGAGAAAGGACTTCAAATCAAACCATAGAAATGACTCAGTCATCTAGTCATGAATTTCTTTTATTGCGTCTGCATTCTAATTTAGTTTCAATCAGTAGGTATAACTATTCATAGAATATAAATCAGATACAAGCCAAAAATAACAGATGTATTGAAATGATCTTGTTATACCAAAATCTGGAAGACAAGCACGTATATTCATCGAAGTAGATTATGACAAATCAATAACAGAGGTGTTTTGACGAATAACAAAATTCTGCCGTCACCCAAATGGTACTAATTACGTGAAAACGAATCAACTTCCGACAGATAAGAATAAATCACGGTTACTAAGGGGCTGAAAAAATCTTAATAAGTTTCAATAAATAGCGTCCTTGCACCATAATTTTCACGTCGGTCAACGTGGACAGAAAGTATTGAAAATAGTAAAGATATTGTCATTATACAATATCTGGTTGAGACTAATTGGTTAGAAGTGGCTAGAAAAAGAGAACTTCGACCACTTCCAGTTCGAAAGGTATTCGGTACGATATTTATACAAGTTATTGCTCAATCACCGACAAGTGCACAAACTTGAACCAATTTCGGGGTAAGGTTCGGTGTTGCAAAATCAATATAGAGCTAAGTATATAAGTAGTTGTGCACTGTACATGCACATACTCATAGACATCTAATCCGTAGTCAACTACTTGTATGTACATGTTAAATACTGATCAAACTATAAAATTCTTTGACAGAAGAACAAACAACCAGTGACAGTTTAAAGAGAATAAATGACAAACGTCATCTGCATTTGCAGCTTGGAATGTTAACTGGGCTTTAGACAAAAGTTTTGTTGTATCTGATAGGCAATTAGGAGTATAAAAGCCTCCCTGTCTTGGCTATAGCCATAGCTGTCCAGTGCAGTATATGCCTCTTTGTTCGGGTCACTTTCCCGGTCAGCCGTTAATCGGCGCCACATGTGACCTGTAATATTTCTAATGTCGTCGGCCGTATGGGGGCCTCCCACGCTTTCGTTGTTGACCGTAGCCACTCAATATTATAGAGGAAAGTTTTGTTTGCAAGCCAAGGGTTGGGCTTGAAAATACCAAATAGGATTGACGAGAAACCTTTTTAGAGTAGCTTAATTTAGTTTGCGAGCGCCATGAGTCCCCGGGGTCTACCGGATCAAGTACCCCGGGGACTATAATTACTTACAAAATAATTTATTCAATATTAGCCAGTTTTTGATTGACCTCAATGGCTCAATTATTTAATCGCTATTGGATTTTTTTATAATTTTATCGTACTAGAGGTTTCAAGATTAATTTCTTCGAGAAACATTTTGCTAGCAGTGTTTATCTTCAAGGCAAAATAACTTAGTCGGACGTTACGTAGACTAACGCAATTATGTAGTTGCCATGATTAATGTAATATTGTTATGCGCCTACTATCTTAGGTATAGTTGTTGTGCAACTGTTTAATAATATGCTTAAAATGTTAAATTTTGCAGATTTTAAAAAGTTTTTTTTAATTGCTGGTAGAAGAGGCAGATAACCCATAAAAATATGGAGAAAAATAAGAGCCTTGGAGTCACGCGCTAACTGAAGTTCGTGAAGTTTCGCTACGAGCTAGTCGTACATAATATAGTCTCGTATTTCAAACAAATTAGGACCGAAAAGCTACTGCAAGTCATAAAAACTTTCAATACAGAATTTCAAAACGATGTTTCTAGTTTTTATGGTCACTATTTTCCCAATAACTTCATATAACAAAGCTCTTAAACAAAGCGTTGAAACTCTTGTTTTATGTAAATAAACGAATCAGTTTCAGTAAATTTCGAGATTCATATGAGTTCAAAGATAAACCGACATCAAACCACAACGGTAAACTAACAAAAAGAGTGAATGACGGGGCGTATGTAAATGAACAATGTAAAACATGAAATTGGTAAGAAGCAAAAGCAATCAATAAACGAAATGTTAATGGGAACATTTATGATAAAACCAAAGCAGTACCTATGTTTGATTGACGATCGTGTAACAATCGTGTATGTTACATCTCCTCATCGCGTGACTCGTGTCCGTGATTGTTAGTACTTCATAATATCATCGAGACAGATACCAACACACTTAATTTTGTGTGTAAACAAGCGTTGCATAATATTTGTACACTACTTTTTCCCCGCCACGAGCGCGCTGCGTAAATATCTGGTAATCTGGTTAGCTTCTTTCCGAGCGCCATAAAGATTAGTTATAAGAAATAAATACGATCGTGTCGGTGTACATGAAGCTTTTTATTACAATTCGGCTTATTTTAGAGGATTGACAGGCAACTCATATATCCGAAAATAGTGTCTTCGATATAATCTCCAAGGAACCTTTTTTTTTTTTTTTTTTAAGGGGGGAAAATCATCGAATGACTGCTCCCGCCTGGGTGAGGCGGAGGGGAGTGTCAGACTCTTACTGACTAAAAACTACCCCGTTCCTTCTCCTGCACGTCGAGCCGGAGCCCCGGTTACCCGTTAGGTTCTCCGCGACTCCGAATCGGCATCGGCCCTATTGGGCCCCATCTGTGGTGGTCTGATGGCTCTTTGAGGCGCGCGCGGAACGCGACGCGCCGTACGCTCGGGTCTGTTTCTGGTCGGACGGGGAGCCACCCATGCTCGCCGTCCGCAGGCCCGCGCTTACGGTGGCCGGAGATCGTCCCGCGATCCCCGACGCCCGGTGTGTCCTTCGCGATGGCCGGGTTGCGAGGAGGCAGCGCTTCGCTGCCTCACGCGTCCCGCCTCCTCCTTAGCTAGCATGACTGCTTCGCAAAAGGAGGAGACGGCATCCCAGTCCCCCTCGCTCCGCATCATGGCCTGCACTAGGCCCGGACGCGAGAGGTCGCCATCGCCGATCACTTCCCTGAGGGCACGGCGGTGCTCAGCCCACGCAGGGCATTCTCCCACAGTGTGTTCCACCGTGTCCTCAGGGCGGCCCTCGCAGTGATGACACCCGGGCGTTTCCTCCCGCCCCATCAGACACAGGTACCTCCCGAAACTTCCATGTCCGGTGAGGACCTGCGTCAGGCGGTAGGTGAGGACGCCGTAGCGTCTCTCAAGCCACTCCTCAAAGAGGGGACTTACCGCTGCAATGGCAGCGAGCCCATCCAAGGAACCTTTAGTAAATATAGACGAATATGGTACTTATTAATACCATTAATAATTTAACCAGCTCTTCAGGTAAAACCTTTCATCGATGTTCTGGAAAGTTCCGATGTAATTTTAATCTGAACGCTGACATTGACCTTATTTGCTCTGGGTCAGTTATAGGATAGGGATAATGTTTTCACCAGATTACGTGTGCTATTTATATTTAGTTGATTGTTTCGTACTTTGTGCCCTATATGTATTTTACTTTCCTTCTATCAAAAGTCTATGATGAAATAAATGAGCAGTGTTAATGAATATGAAATACGCATAAATAATTTTGCAGTTTTTGAGAAAGCTTTCTTTTTATTTGGTTACGTCTAATTGGCGCTTAGTTTTTGGAAATGAAGTCTAATGTGTTCTCGCCACATGAAACCACCCACCATCAGCACCTTTATGGTTGCTCTAATAGGCCTGTGTAATGCCTATCAGAGCACCTCCCTTAAAGACGCCATGGGATAACTAAATAGTAGTCTACAACTACAACTTCTTTCTGTATAACTCCCGTCATTCTCAGTCAGAGCATTAAATTGTAGTTCTCTTTGTTTGCTTCATCAATAATCGATCAATCAGAGGATGTTTTTTTTCTTTGTCCCCCTGTTTAGTAGGTTTGTCTATTTCTGCCTTGAATGTCCTTGCACGACAAGTGTTGCTACAATTTTATACTTATTACTGTCTGTTGTAGGTCAAGTTTATTTGCGCTGGCGACGATGCTGGTTGGTTTTGGTAGTTGTATTTACATTTCATATCAGCAGCCGTAGAATATAGTTATCTAATTCCATACATAAATATGCAAACACCATTACGTCAATCAAGATTATGACAATTATGTGTTACGATTTTGAAATGTTTGCTAACTGATTATACTTCGTATCGGAAAATAAACACAACATTATTTGAACTTTGATTATTTTTGTTTATGGCTAATAAGCGATCGTCGTAGTGACAGAAGCACGAGACCTCGCTGTGTTTGGGAGACACACGACGACAATATGTCTTTCCCACATTTATCATTGTATGTAAAATCGTTGGCATTCTTCAGCCAAGGGCTTTTCATAAAGGCGTTGCTGCTGCTGCAAGTTTCGTGTGGCCAGTGTGATATAAATTAATTTAGTAGTTATCTTTAACACCAATGGCGCCACTGTCGGATTGAAGGCAGTATGTTATGTTGGAATGTTGTTATTTTCGGACGTTTAGTTTCTTCCTAATTTCTTTCGAGTCTTCATCGGTATCGTCACGATTTTTGTCGTGTGTGTGAATAGGTTGTTGTCTTGCTTCTCCCCATTACACAGGACTAATCCCTATTTGGTAAATTGTGTCTAATGCGTATTATACAAATACTAATGCTTTATTTTTCAGTAAATGTAGGGGTGCGTATGGCGCCGCCGGTCGTACCACAGGGCGCCGGACGTATCAAAGAGCGCACTTAGGCAATAGTAAACATTTTTATTGGCGAATAACCTGATGGTGCATTATCGGCAATTTTTTCTCACCCACGCGCGGTTAAATACAACGCAAACGTTGTTTCTCGCCGAATTTATAATTGCGCCAAAAAGTTAAATGACCTCATTTTCACTATAACTATTATAACCCATTTTACCCAATTCATCATCAATCATATAGGTATTTAATTGTTACTGGGTACTTCTGTGAGTAATCTTATTGGATTCAAGCATTTTCTCAATATATCATAAGTGAAATAGTATTTAGACCACATAATGAGATATGCATGTACTTAATTCATTATTGTTTGTAGTAATAAAAACAAAACAAGTTTACATAGAAACACTTTTCTATAAGTTCCACAGTTAAAAAATACTTTTAAAACCACAATTATCATATTGACTGGTATCTATGTCTAAATAAAGTTTAGGAAATGAATATTTTATTGTTAGTCACTATACATCAAAAGCATTTGTAAAGTTGGATGATAATTGGGCCCTTATCAATAGACTTCATTAATAACAGTGTGGCAACATAGATATTGTGAAATAGCTATTGTTGGAGTAAAGTGATTTATCATGCACAATAATACTTATGAACTATATTTTATTTGACTATATAATAATTTGACCTCTTTGGAAGAATTGATACTGGTTGTACTTTATTTTTTTTATGTATATAAGAAGCCTTCTATTACTATAATTTAGACCTCTTTGGTAATTATCATAATAGGTAGTTTCTATTCTTTTTTTCTCTGAAGCTGCAAAGGTGGTTAAAAATCAATCCATGCAAGTGAATTCGTTAAAATGATGTATTAAATTATAATAGTCTCTTTGTATGAGTATGATAATAGTAATAAACATTTTTACCAAACAATACATTTATAAAAGTTAAGGAGATCTATTAGGCTTAACTTGAAATATATTACTAGGATAAACACAGTCAGATTATTTTACCTTGCTTTGCATTGGTTTCAAACACTGTTAGCTAAAACAGCGAAATTTTAATTAGGTACTACTACCTAATAAAGTATGTTTTATTCATATTTGACTATTTATATTTTTAATGATAAAAAACAGGCCTTATAAAATATAATTTATAATATTATTCTATTGCCGTTTTTCATGGCCTCCAATTATGATAATATTAATTATCAAACAATACAACAACACGATTTAATTTAACTCCACGCGAGTAAATAAAAATTCGCAGTTTGTTTTGAAATTTTTAAAACTGAATTTATTTAAAAATATAGCGGTATTTTATTCACCGTATCCGCTTTAATGCTTTGCTTATGTGCTTATCTTTTGAACTATAAACAATAAGGCTCGTAAAGTTTCATGAATGTTTAAGTGTAATTTTTTTTTAGTGATAATATAAAACTGGTACTCACGGTCGTAGGAACGTAAGCTCTGTTCGCGGTGGCCTTCTCATTCATCCACTTCACCGTCTTTAGCTTCTCCCACGGAAGATCATAGTGAAAATAAATCTTACTTTCATTGAACTTAGATTTAAATTTCATTATTATCACAGAAAATAAGCTTAGAACGTCACCCATTTATACGTTTTCTCTGTATAGCAGCTGAATGTTAAATGGTCAAGAGACCGACAACTGCACATCTAATCTTATAAAGATATTAACATTCATGTTAGTAATTCAATTTACATTTTTATAGATTTAATACACATAACATTTATCTTTTTATTTTACAACCACCTCGGTCGATGCGATATGACGGAATGATGAATGTCAATGACAACAACTTATGTCAAACTTATGATAACATGACGTTAAGTTAGGGTTGTTAGTAAAAAAAGGATTAATACGGTTTTGAGGGCAATGTAAACAAATCTCAGTATTTTAATATTAAATAAATTTTGCTTGTAACCAATATATTGTACACCATAGCAATCAAGCATAATTTTGTGGAAATTAATTGAGGATTTATCATTTTTGGCAACCAAGGACGTTGGCAACTATACACATGATGACATTAAATACTTCGTTCAGTAAATAGTACAATGATAAATCGGGCGTGGCCAAAATAATATTTAAAAATTAATTTTGTTATATCTTACTATTAGCATAACTATAAAATGTTCTTGATTTTTATTTATAAAACCCAAACAGAAATTACATTTTTTGTGACGCAAATGCTAGGTATTATATTAAGTACAAGAGTAAATGGCAGGATTTCAGCTAATCGACACTTAAGTTTCCATCATATGATATGGATAATTGGAAAATTGGACAACCAGAGTAAAGTAATAACTGCCCCAATAATCGATGTTTAATATTATTCTAAATAGGGGCAATACCCTTCTGTGGTATTATTTCCTATTATTTCTAAAAAAATCTTATTTATCAGTGTCAACATGAATTTTAGTCTCATTAAGTAGATATATTTTAAATGAAATGATTATTTTCTGATATATTTCTTATATTATTTTTAATACTTAATAATTATAATACACATTAGGTAACCGTTGTACAACTAGAACTTATCCTCAAACAGTTGTAGAAGTCTCTTTATTTCTGCTATTCTGGCTGCCTGCGCCTGTACGGGAATCATAGCTTGTGACACCTCCTCACCTTTAGCTAGAATGGTGTACATGCTTTTTATATTATTATCCATTGCATCACAAGTTTTACCAACAGCATCTTTATAAACCTCCATGTTTTCTGCAGTCAATGAAGAATTAGAGTGCAGTATACTAGACAGGTTTTCAATTAAATTGTCTACAGATTGTGCAATTCTCTGTGCTTCATACTCCAGGTCATGTAATACTGTTATGTCTATTTGACCAATCTGAGGAGCTAATATTTGTTTATACAATTTTCCGGAAGGTGTACTAGAACGAGATGCACTGGAACTCCCAAACACCGGGGTTTCACCTCTTTTCGCTATAGGACTTGAAAGTTTTATTTTAAATTCTAAATCATCAGCAACATAATGTGTCATATCTCCTTCATATCTGACGTGTCCATCTATGTCCAAAGGTAGCTTTTCTTGTTTCCTATTTTCTGATGGCAAGTCATAAGGTCTAGATGGGCCTGCAACTCTTTCCTGTTCCTCTGGTTGTCCTTGGTCAGAGTGAAAAGATATTTCACTATAAGAGGCAGTCATTCTCGCTGATATTTCTTCATCCAAATCAATGTCGCCTTGTCTTTTGATCGTATCATTTAACAAGTCTTTTGGTTCAGCCAAGGGAGAAACTTGATCTACATTTTCAGCCATTTTTAAGCTGAAATAAAAATAATTAGTGTTACTTCGCAATTTTGAAATATAAAAAAATAGTATATTACTTAGAACTTGTCGCCAGAAGACACATAAACAAAAGTATTTTACAATTAATTCGATAAAAAAGTTGTTATTAAAGTACACGTTTGTGCATAGAAACCTACATTTTAATTGACGTTTATATCTTACTACACATGAATATTTAGCTAAACACCATGTCCTAGGTTTATTCTAACAATTCAGTGCATTTCTTTTATTTAAAATATTACAAGTTCAAACATTGATGACTGAAATCTATGTTTTTTGGGTTTTTTGCGTGATTTTGGTTTTTGACATTTAGTTTAGTGTTGTGCTCTGTGGTGTTGTGCACAAGACATTTGGATATGATTATTTTACTGTTTTGAAAAATATTTACTGTCTACTATCTTTTTCATAATTTTATTAAATTATAATAATTATCTATTATAACAGTCAATAAGTCCAATATATATAATATGGAAATGCCGATGAAACCACTTTTATAATTAGTAAACCATTTCTTTTCATGTTCAAATGTTCAACACTATTGCAAAGTGTCAATAAAAATAATCACCAACAAAATAAAATAAGCAGAAAGAAAAACTACTTTTGAAAAAAAATAAAAAATTAGATTAGGTTTAAAGAAATCTAGTACCTAGTTTAGGATAATAATTTGAAATATGTTAGCAAACTTCTAACAATACTGGAATTTTAAGTCTGTGGAAGAAATATTCGGAATGGCCGCCTGTGTATTTGTAAATCCAGGTTATAGAATGCAGTATTTAAAGCATGTTACTATAAGTTTAGACTCCCTATTTTTTACGGGTTTATCTGTGCGTTAAAAGAGTATAGACAATCGAGATGCTTAAAATTACGGTTGTTCTGAACAATTTGAAAAATGACAAATTTGCGGGAATTTTTGACAGTTGTCAATAAAAACATCGTGAGTTGTGGATTTCGTTTCGTATCAGTTTAATTCATTGATTTTTCATAGTTTTCTTTACAGACATAGTTTATTATTAGATAAAAAGTGTATTAGAGAAAACGGTGCGTTTGATTGGTGAGTTAACTATTGTAAAAGTCACTGGGAGCAGGAGTACATTGTACATTTAACATGGCGCTGTGTAACGACATGTGCGGGTGATAACGCTCGTCCTTTGTCGTACTAGTTTTCTATTTTGAGTGTAAAACGTTTGTGTTGTTAATGATTTATCAGTCGCGTGTGTTTGTAACGTCGAAGGGCTGTTACATAACGGATTTTGGGTCTTGTCTGTAACGTTACGACACAGCTACTGCAATGGTGAAAACCCGTCGCAGTAATGGAGAAAATGGGGAGGTTGACGATGGGAATTACGCTATGAACGACGAGAGCATCGTGTCTGAAGAGAAGGTGACGTTGTATAAGCCATTAGTTTGTTGTGCAGTGGTTTGGTATCGAGGCTTTGTACACCACTATGTACTTCCTGTCCTTGTTCCTTGTAGGTACATGATTGTCGCGAGTGCACGTCGATGCATGCGCTTTTAGTGCTTAATGATTAGAATTATAGTATTTGTGAACAAAACTAAGGTCTTGTGGTTATTTATGATGTTCCCTGTAAAGTTGTGGTGACTCAACTTAATTGTCCAGATATGTGTTGGTAGTAAATGTTTTGTCTTCACGCAGCTATGATGTCAGAGCTCACAAAGCATGTTATACAAATATGAATATGAATTCTATATATGTGGAGAGCTAGATACAAGGTACATGTAGTTTAATTTACACATTCTATGTCAACAGTAACGGTTAGTGTTGCATCACATGTTATTTCAACATTCGCATAGATCTGAATGGGAATAACAATGTTTTTCTCTTCAAAAAAACTTCAATTTGATTGTAAATACATGTGTATTCATGTTTTCTTTAAGGTAATAATACTAGGGAGGTTCTCTGATACAGTAATGTTATATTTAAAAGTTCAGTAATATCACTTTTTATAACTAATGTCTTATTTATCTATACTAAATTGCACACACAGAAAAAAAGTAAACATTGCAATATTAATTTGAGTTTTGTCACACGCAGCTATTTATTCCAGACAACCTTTGGATAGAATTTTTGAAAAGAATCTGGGAATGGGTGGTAGATGTAAAAGAAAACCAAAATAGATAATGTCCTAACGATTGGGAAGTAGATTCACTTTATAAACATTAATAGGACAAAATAAACACGCAAACCAATAAGTGTTTGATAAAATCATATTACTGATAGGAATAATCAATAGTACAAATAAACAAACAAATTTTTTTAATTGTTTCCTACTCCTTATCTCTACTACCTATAAGGAGAATGCACAAATGACAACAATATACTATAACACATCATAATACATGATGTTGATTCAAAGTATTTACATAAAGGTTAAATAAACATTCAGTCACTGAAGCAAATTCCATAGTATACATTTCTATTTCAAAAAGAGAATCAAGAAGTTTATGTCTTTTTATTTAAAAAATACTTGTGTATATAGAAAAATGTCACAAGTCTACTTTGACATTGTTGATATTGTCGTAGAGTCTCAATAACTTTATTGGTAGATTCAGTGCCTATACACAGAATTTTAACACATTTTGCACAAAGAACCAAATATGCTATAAAGTGTGTGTTGCAAGAGCCAAAAGAACCAAGCTCTCCGATAAATCTGTACTGTATAAACTGCAATCACTAACCCGCTCACCTGATATATAAAATAAACCAAATCCATTTGTATAGACATAAGTCAAACCCAGGTCCAATATCATGGCCTCTTTTTATTTTTTATAAATGTTTGATAAGCTGACAATTGGCCAATATCTGTTGATGTTTTTATGTCGTAATTTTGTCTTACACTGTAGACAAATCTATGGACAGACTGGGTATTAAGACTGAAATAGTTAAGATTATTAGATGCAATTAGTTAGTTAAGTTACCTCCCTGTAGCACTCATTGGCTATACACCACACCCAATATACTTCAACTTGTCACTTATCTACTTAATTTATTATTAAGTTACTAAGTTTCCTCAATATGTGGTAATCTTAGAATTAATTTTGGGACCATAGGATAATAATAACAACCTTTATTATAATTTGATTCCCGCATGGGGTGTATGTGGTTCGAATATTATTATGTTTTGTTATTAATCTATGAGAATAAAATATGAAGTCTTATTTTCCCTTAATAAATACATATTTAGTAATAATTTTGATGTCCTTTTTGTACTGAATGTTTATTTTAGTTTAGTTATTTAGCTTTATAGTACAATGAAGATTATTTAATTGTGTACTAGTATAATCAAATGCCTTTAGCCAGACATTTTACCCCATTGCATGGTATTCAATTTAAATGAGGCAATATTTGTTTCTATAATATTGCAGTTTCAATTGTTATTATACTTTTCAGTAGGTAGTTACAAATGTTTTGTACCTGTGCCTGGCTAAACGTCTCCCTATTTCCTGTGACCTGTTTAATATGAACTGGATGTATGTCTATGTAGATAGACAGCAGTTACCGTTAGGGGGTCAAAGGAGTAACATCTCTATTGAACATGATACATTTTTTTTAAATATTTATTTATATCAGGCAACGAAATTTTTGTATAGCTATAAATAGAAGGTTAAAAAGTAATGTTTGATTACAATTTTAGACACCTAAGACCTCTAACTGGACCCCAAGAGAGTTGAGGAGCAGTCAATATAAAGTTACCAGGAAGATACAACACTGGCCCACTAAATGTAAGTGTCTATTAACTACTTTAATTAAATGAGAACTACAGGTTTTATGTCTAGTTGTGACTTAATGACATATTTGTTTATTATGGTTGTAATTGCATATTTAGGTAATTGATAACTGCATTTTTATGCAATATTTCTCAAATCCATATAATTATATTTTTAGTTCTTGTATTGCACAGCTTGTTTCTGACCATAGATGGAGAAGGTTAAAAGGAGTTTGTGTTAAATTCTATTCTGTATAAGGAGTAATTAAAAAGCAAAGTTACTATGACGTCACATAAATGGTGAATTGATTTTACAATTTGTGCCTGAACACAGTGTTTTGTAAATCCAAACTGGCTTCTAAGATTGTAAACTCTTATGTGCTTGCTTACTATGAACGTTTTATAGTGAGTATACACTTACTATAAACTATTTAGGTCATGTTACAATAATTATCGTAAATTCTTAATGAGGCAGTAATTGAAAGAGTGAGACAAAATGTTCATTTAAGTGCAGGTTCTGTTGCAGTGTTCTGATAACTGATCGTTTTACAGATAGCCGACGTCTTCGAACCATAAAGATGCCTCGGATCATGTTCCCCGAAAGTGATACAGAACCAGAAAAATATTCAAGGAGGTAAGTCAATTGGAACTTCTCACTTTAGCAATAGTTACTTAAATGAAAACCTCTTTTCTATTAGATAGCTATGTGGACAACTAAACTGCTACAAGCAACTATATGTATCCAAAGGCTCTTGAAGTACTCAAGAAAGACTCATATAAAGTTTAGATCTTGTTCTTTGAGACTAATTTACAAAATTAAATGTGATACGCGACACTCAATTTCCTATTTGGATATCACTGTGGCTTTGTTAAATCTCTTGTATATTGTTTTATCGGTAACCGCAACTTTATCGCAGTGTTCGGGTTATAAAACTGTAGTTTCGGTGTACTAGATATCCCAAAACCATGTTTTTATGAATTTAAAACTGTAATCATGTAGTAATGATATTATTCTCTCAGATCAAGACAAGTGCGGGTGTTCTTCGCTGATGACAATGATTCCACCAACAGAAGCGTGAAGATACGTCGCAGTCGAGCTCCTAGAAAAAACTATATGGAGGACAGTGAGGATAAACCCATTCAAGAAAGTGAGTATTTTATTTAGAGCCATCTATGTACATACGTAAATGCAGAAAGAGTTTATAGTTTGATGTTTCGTGGCAAAATTTAAATGTTCTAAATATTAGAGTACCTCTCACTTAAAACTGTAAATGAAGTATTTTGCGATTTATATTACTTAGAGTCTCTTGATTTCATGTTGTCTGTTATGTATATGTATTACTTCAATTACATTGTACTAACATAATCCTTATCAATTCAAGATGTCCGAAGAAGCTGTCGTAAGCGCAAACTCCTACATCACAATTTTAACGAGAGCTGGATCACAAACGAGCTGAAGGTCAAAGGCTACCCAGACCTATATGGCTTCCCCGGCTCTAGTTCTTCAGACGAATTCTCTTCAGCTGACGAGGCTAGGGTTGCCTCTAAGAAACTTGTAAGTATCACATAGTTGAAATAATTTTTATTCTCTGAAAATGTGGGCCCTTTTGTTTGTTGCCAAATATGTCCAATGATTGATAACATGAAAAGTCAATTAGAACTCTCCAAATATGAATCCAATTTGCCAATATTGCGAATGGTAAAATATTCAATACTTGCCACAAGTTCGTTAAGACCTAATTGTCTTTTAAAGTGACTAAATGTATTAGTTGTTTAGTATCTTCTTGCACATTACTACATAGATCTGTATAGACGCCGAGTAGCGGTAGAAACCGTGCGGGAGTATTCAGGAAATAATATAATAAATCCGCTTTTATTTCCACAGACACGTAGTCACCCCCCTACCAACACCGACGAAGACACCCAGCTGTCGCGACAGAGAAGAACTTCTGCCAGATTCAGCAACAAGAAGACTATTGTACGTATTTTATTACAATCCATGTATGCATGCTTGCAGATATATATTTGAATCTCGGCCTAACATACATATGTCGGAATACTCAAACGCTACTCAATTTTAAGTCGCGCTTAAGTATAGTTCTCTACAAATTCTTTGTAAAATGACAGAGATGGCACGATATTTAAGCACGACTTAAAATTGAGTAACGTTTCAGTATTTCGGCAGTAGTGTGTAGTATCTTGAAATTGATTTTCAAAGCTTCGACCTTACCCTTTTGTAATAAAGTTTAAAATTTGTTACTGAAATTAACTTCACAGTGGCCTTTTTCTGTAGTTATCATTATTAAAACATCTAGTTTTAAATAAAAACTTTAATATGATTTTTCAATTTATTTCTTTGATAAAACAGGACGCGACAGAATCAGATTCAGAGGAGGAAAACAATCAAACCGTTATTGAGAAAAAGCCATCGACGGAAACTAAACAAGAAGATGAGAACATGGACACAGAAGTACCTGCTGCTGACAAAGAGGATGAAAAAGAAGTAAAGAAGGAAGAGGAACCTGTACAGGGACAAGATAGTGAGAGGTTAGTGTGGACCAAGATGTTTATGGGTTAGGCAAATAGACACACTGATCACCTAATGGTAAGCAATCAGCGCCGACCGTGGACACGCGAAATAGGGGACGGAAGAGTTATAAGTGCACCATCTGCCTTTTAGAACGACTTGAATGCACGGTTGGCGTGGTGGCTGGGCAATCGCTTGCCGCGCAACGTGCAGCGGGTTCGATTGCCGCAATGAGCAACTCCTTGTGTGCCAGAAAAAGTTGTTTCGGGTCTGGGTGTCATGTGTATGTGAATTTGTATGTTAGTAAACGCACCCACAAAACAGAAAAAAATCCTAGTGTGGGGCAATTTTTTATATAAAAAAAAGGTTTGGGGGTACTGCCTCTTGTTTGTTTAAAACCTTTTTGGCAAAAATATTGTTCCACAGCATACATCTTCTGGTTAATGTTGATAATGAGATATGAAAGATGAGATATGACATATTTACTTATTGTATTTTTTTATTTATTTCTAGTAACCAAGCTCCAACAAGAAGTAGTAGAAGAAGGCCTGTCCGAAGTAGAACTAAGAAAGTGGATAGTCAACAGGAAACAGGTAAGACATTGATTCAATCCATTATTGTCGACTCGAAAAGAATTTCGACTTTATTATAAAACGATTGAGTTGATAATCGAAAATATCTGTACATAGACATTTTATATTTCCACAGAGTCATCGTCCTCGGAGTCTGGCAGTGAGTTGACATTAAGTCGTCAGCCGCGTCGCTCCAAGCGCACGCGCAAACCTAAACCTGCCTTCATGCAGATCGCACAGGACGAGACCCGGTCCAGAGGTAATAACGTCTTGCTTGTGTAAAATTAACAATACCATTCTCTTGTTCTTTAAGCCAAAAGTTGAAATTTGTAAAGCATACTTGACCTTAATTTAACTTTCGTTACCTAGTTGATTAATTTTTACAACTCACATTACTTACCAATTGACGAAGTAAGTCAGCTGCCCAACGCTCCTATCGTCGTTTAAAGCGTGCTGCTCATGATTATGAGTCCTCAGTTTGACTTGAAATCAGTTGAGTTACCTCGTCCAACAGTAATGTGAATAGCTAAGCTATAATAGTAAGTTAAAGAACAGTTTAAAGTCATTTAAAGATTATTTGCATCCACCATGTTGTTCTATTTCTAAATATATTTTTTTTTCTTACAGCAAAAACATTCACAATAAGAAAGAAGCCATACTGCCTTAGAGAGAGGAAGCCAAAAATATTACGTAGGAAGACAATCAGATGTGAGTTTTATTCCCTTATTGATACAGTTTATTTTTGAATAATATGTTATATTACATATTACATAAATTATTTTCTTTACAGCACAATCGCCGTCTAGTACGACCAGTAGCAGTAGTACTTCTAGTTCGGACACCGAAGAGGATCTTAATGTTTCTATGAAAAATAAAACAAAGGGCAGGTGAGTTCCTCTCATCTATGATTTTAAATATTATGAAGATATTAACTTAACGGCTTAACAATAAAGTTAAAAATGGATTAAAACAATGTAGACTGAAATTAGATCTCTTCTATGCATGACTATAAACAAAATTTATTCGTTTTTATAGACTTTATTTAAATATAAAAACATAGTTTATTTTCCAGACAAAAGTCAAAGTCGACGGATGATAAGAAAACAGATAGAGCACTGAGGGAGATACAGCCAGTTGAAGTGGATGGTAGCGTCAGATTTAGTTCTGTAAGTGAACCTTATTTTATCTTCCTTACACTATTCAGTAGGAAGCTGATGATGAACCTGATGATATATTGCTATCTGACCCGTTGAAATTCATCCCGTAAATTTGTTCATTCAAAAGTAGTCTCTAAGCATTGGAAATAAGGTCTATAATGTAGGTAGTGGAGAGTGGTCACCGGTGACCGCTTAGGGATCTATGGGTTAAGATTATTTTGTTGTCATCTATACATTTTAATAGCAACGTAACTGGCATCTCTGTTTTCTCCTTTCACAATTATTAAAAGGCGGCATACTATGTCAGTTATAATATAATGAATATTGAAAACTTTGCAATAATTTAAAATTTAAAGCTGTTATGCCCATGGAAAATACCTTTGTGACGATACTTAAGTGTCAGAGAGCCATGCTTCGGCACGAATGAGCCGGCTCGACCGGAGTGATACCACGGCCTCACAGAAAGCAGACGTGAAGGAACGCTTGCGTTGTGTTCGTCGTGTGAGTGAGGTTACCGGAGGCCCAATTACCCCCTCCCCTTCCCTAATCTTCCCAATCCCTGAATCCCCAACAATCCCTTCTCCTAATCCCCAAAAGGCCGCTAACGCACTTGTAATGCTACTGGTGTTCATGTCCATGGCCGATTGCTTACCATCTGGTGATCCGTCTGCTCGTTTACCGCCTTATCCCATAAAAAAGTCGTTTTTAAAAGACGGTAAATGATTGAAAATTAGAAACTCAGTCCATGAATTAAATATATTTCAGGTGGGAGGTCTAGAAGAGCACATTAAATGTCTTAGAGAGATGGTACTCTTCCCTCTAATGTACCCGGACCTCTTTCAAAAGTTCAAGACGAGGCCAGCCAAAGGAGTCCTGTTCCACGGTCCGCCCGGTACTGGTAAAACGTTGCTAGCAAGAGCTTTAGCCAATGAGTGTACATTGGTTGGTGGACGAAAAGTAGCTTTCTTCATGAGAAAGGGAGCTGATTGCTTGAAGAAATGGGTTGGAGAGAGTGAACGCCATCTTAAATTGCTGTTTCAACAGGTAACTAGAATCAGTTTTGTTCTTTTTTATGTAATTGGGTACTTTCCTTAATCAAACATATTTTTTCGACTGTTCAATATAATAAATCATTAAAAAATTATCACACTTTCATTAATTGATTTCATGACTAACTTAATTTTAGTACTTTACCAGAATTTTTTTAAGAAATAAGTAAGCCGTTTGACGCTAAATAAATGTAACGTCACAATACACAATCTCGTACAAAATTAATAGAAAACTGTCGTTTTTGACAGTTCGAAAAAAGTATTGAATTTGACTAGTTGGCAAGTACCCAATTTCGATGTATGATAAATCAATTTCGGAGATTTTCTAACAAATAATGTTTTTCTCGCATGTAATCTTGTTATAGATATCTCACGTTTACAATATTAAAATAACCGAAATAAAAAATTAACAACATCATGTAGTGGCAATAATATGTAACGGTTATCAATGAAAATTAATACGAAAACCCATCTTTCCTTACACAGGCGAACAAAATGAAACCGTCAATAATATTCTTCGACGAGATCGATGCGCTTGCGCCAGTCCGCAGCGTCCGACAGGAACAAGTACATACTAGTGTTGTCGGCACGTTACTGGCTGAGATGGATGGCCTATGTGACAGGTATGTTGTTGTGGTAAAATGGACTCTATTGCTTAAAATACATGGTTGATAATTAATTATTTGCCTACTTTATAAGTTCCAGTTTCATAATATTATGACATCGGTTTATTAAACTTGCCATTCAAATTCGAACCTTATTTCTAGGGGCGAAGTAGTGATAATCGGTGCGACGAATCGTTTAGACGCAGTAGACCCTGCGTTACGTCGCGCGGGTCGATTTGACCGAGAGCTTCACTTCCCACCGCCACACGCCACCGCTAGGAGGGATATACTGGAGATATATACTAAGGAATGGACGCCAAGACCTAGTGAAGAGACCTTGGATTATTTAGCTGAAGTCACTGGGGGTTATGGAGGTAAAATTTATTGTGTAACTTAGTAAACATAGATACACTAATGTTAAACATAGATACACTAATGTTAAACATAGATACACTAATGTTAAACATAGATACACTAATGTTAAACATAGATACACTAATGTTAAACATAGATACACTAATGTTAAACATAGATACACTAATGTTAAAATGTAAGACTGCACGGTTGGTGCGGTGGCTGGGCAACCGGCTGCCGTGCAACGTGTCGCGGGTTCGATTCCCGCACGGGACAACACTTTGTGTGATCCACAAATTGTTGTTTCGGGTCTGGGTGTCATTGTGTATGTGAACTTGTATGTTTGTAAACGCACCCACTACACAGGAGAAAATCCTAGTGTGGGGCAACGTATTTTAAGAAAGAAAAAAAAAAAGAAAGAAAACGTAACTTCGCCATCTTGCTACTACTTCGGCTTAAAAAACCGTCAGGTTAGTTAGGGTTAGTTACTGTGCTAGTATTAGTAATTTGCCCCCCTTCGACCCGGGAATGCTACTTGTGACAACAGACTCCGGTGGTCGCATTTGTTATTGAAAAAAGACATCAACTTTAAATGAAACTCGATTACGCCATAGTACGCTATTGCATAGTATACGATTTTTTTTAATTTGTCATAATTTGTTTCCAGGCTCGGACCTGAAGGCGTTATGTTCGGAAGCAGTGTTGAAAGCGCTGCGTCGAGTGTACCCACAAGTGTATGAGAGCGAGCACGCCCTGGTTATTGATGCTAAGAATGTAAGTATCCAATAAATAAATTTATACCATACTCTCGAAGAAGCAACACTCGTTCAATATTAAATAGTTGTCTATTGGATTAATTACTGTCTTTTGGTTGCTTGCCATTCCATACACCCATAAAAATCCCATTGATTCTGTACTCTTAGGATTGTCTGAGTGGTACCTACATTCGAAGCGATTATGCTTTCGTAATCATTGTGATATCAGACCCTCCTATAGCTAATTTAATTTAAAAGGGTAGTAATAAAAGCTTCGACATGAAAAGAAGAATTGTCCTTAGTGAAAATATTAAATCTACTGCCTAAAATATTAACTTTCCGACTACTTTACATGACTGTTTATTGCTACAATACTAACCTAACCTAACCTAAAACGTCTGTTGTCGGTAACTTAGTAATTTTGTCGGAGCATCAATATTCTATTCGGAAGTTTAGTTTTGTTATTCGAAGATCAATTTTTATAGTCGGCCACGGATTGCTGGAGATTATTTTTTTGTTCGGAACCATTATTATTTTCCAATTTAAAACTGTAATAAATATTAATTGGATGATTTCTGTCCAGGTGGAGGTGACCCGTGCCGACCTGGTGTGTGCGATGTCGTCGCTGGTGGCGGCGGGCGCGCGCAGTGTCCCCGCGGCCGCGCGCCGCCTGCCGCCCCACGCCGCGCCGCTACTGCAGCCGCAGATACACGCCGCTACTGCTCTACTGCAGCAGTGCTTCCCACTGGCTAATGCAGTAGATGATAGGTTAGCAATTTTATTTGCGTTGGGTATTTTTGGGTGTGGTGGTGATAGACTTTATCTGTCACCACCCTCATTCTTACTGTGGTTCTAAGAACCGACTAATAATCTACACATTTAACAGAGAAAACAATTGTGTAGTCATCCAGAGCCTACACATTTGCGCCTCCGATAAAAGTTAACATTTTAAAATACGATATCTAGTTAGCCTACTAAGCTTTAGAGACTGTAGCAAACCTTAACCTCCCATTTAGAGGTGGTGTTGTCAATTTTTAAGGAGTTAGGTCGAAATTCGGTAATTATCCAGTAGTCAAAGTCTACCGATAGCTGGATTATTGAGTCTGGTTGTAATAATAGTAATAAGATCTAGTAATAATAGTAACCACCTTAGGAGGCTGGTGTTAGGCGGATGGGTCAAGGGCTTGATACAGAAGACAGTTCTCCTTGAAACGGCGCGCATCGTGAGGAGATCTCTGGAGCCCTAACCACCGGTAGCTTGGACCATGCCTATCGCTACTGGCCGGCTCCTATTTATATTTGTTTTTTTTAAATACTATTTAAAAATATAATTTTAGAGAATTTTAAATAAATGAATGTAATAATATAATAATTCTAATCTCGATTATATTCTCTCACAGTATAACCGACCCATCTCTATCACAAAGCGTGCTCCTAATAACGGGCGAGTGCGCAGAGACTCACATAGCTCCCGCAATACTCGCCCAGCTAGAGCATTGTACTGTGAAGGAACTCAGCATGTCTACGTTACACTCCGCTCTCACCTTCACACAAGAACAGGCTGTAATATCAGTGAGTATAGTGTTCATTTTTGTGTAGCAAATAAGTTTTGGCACCAGTAAGTCAGTAATAAAAAATATTTATAACTTTTGAACAATTTTGTTATTGAGGTATTGTTATAGTGCTGGGTAACTGACTGGAATATAAGTAATGGTATGGTACTGCATTGACTGTATAAAGAAGGTCTTGTTTTAATACTATTTGACATGAATTGATTTTTTACCGGTGACTGCTCTCCACTATTAACATTATAGACCAACTATTAACATTATAGACCTTATTTCCGATGCTTAGAGACTTTTGTGTGAACAAATTTAGGGGATGATATTTCAACAGGTTAAGGACCACTTTTAGTTTCGTGCCGTTCTAGCCTATGTAGATGTATTAGGAACGGAGTGGTTATTAGTCAGTAAGAGTCTGACACTTCTTCCTCACCCAGGCGGGAGATTTTATTTGATGATTTTTCCCCTTAAAACAAAGCCTATGTATATTCATTTGTAAAAATCTGATTTTGGATCGATATAAAGAATATTTTATAGATTTTAATGGGCTTAAGAGTTACTATCAATTCGTTTGTAATAGTTTGTTTGTTTAGTAGTAAGTATAGTTAGTGTATAGGTACTTATGAATATCGAGCACTATTCCCGCCGTCAAACTGTCATAGCAGTTTGGTGAGCATATTTATTGTATTATTTTGTATAAAACTAATAAAGAATTAAATAATAATTATTATTATTGTTTTAAGGCCTAAGCTTTTAATTTCTTATTTGTAGGTATTCTCGGAGTGTCGTCGCGCGGAGCGTGGCGTGGTGTACGTGCGCGACGCGTGCGCGGCGGGTGGCGCGGGGCTGGGCGCGCTGCTGCGCCAGCTGTGGCGGGCACGCGCCGCCGGCCCGCGCGCGCTACTGCTCGCCACCGCGCCCGCCGCGCACCACGACTTGCCCGCTGAGGTTTGTTATACATCTCCAAATACTAAAACGCCACTCAATTTTTAGACGCGCTTAAGCATTGTTTTGTTACTACAAATTCTTTGACAAATGACAGAGATGGCACGATATTTAAGTACAATTTAAAATTGAGTACCATTTCAGTATACAGGCGTTAATCATTGATTAACATTATTCAAATTCATGTTCATAATGAAGTAGTGTTGTGTCCATGGACGGAATTAAATATAAGGATCCATTTTAGTCGTGTGCTGAAAATGCAAATTTGCCATACGCAAAAATCACTATTAAAACACTTTACTTCTATGACTAAGGCTGGTTCCAAAAAACAATGTTTAGAATGAATAATATTTAAGTCTAACTCATTTGATTAGTGTTCATACGAGCTTGACATGTTTCCTCTTTGTTATTTCTAGCTACAAGAACTATTCCCAGTATACAAAGACTGCGTATACAAGGTGCGTGAGCCCAGTGCAGCAGAAGTGATCAACTTCCTGAAGCCAATACTGGCTGAGGCACTACTGGACCCACCGCCCATTGAGAACAACGAGCCACCTCCTCCGTTACCAAGAGGTAATTTTGAAATCACTCAACATCCACAAAATACTCTTTTGAGTATTTTGTGGACGTTGAGTCATTTCGTTGGTTGAGACATTATGACCAGTAACAAAAGTTACTGGTCATAATGTTTGTATTTTCGAATATTGTCAATTTTAGGTATGGTAATTTTCCGCAGATAGTTTTGTTAGGAGTTTTCATTATAGGCCGTATAATAATTTTAAGATTATTTATTTCCCCCTCCCTCTTAGAAGGATGTCGTAACATTTAGATCGAGCCATAAATGAAATTTAATAATATATTTGAGTTTCTAAAAAGTTGTATGTTCCTCAGCCCCTCCACCGCCACCACCTCGCGAGTCCGCCGAGGAGATGACGCGACGCAAGCGCAAGGAAGACTACAAGCTGCGCGAGCTGAGGATATTCCTGCGAGACATCTGTAGGAAACTAGCGTCCAACAGACGGTTCTACAAGTTCACTAAACCTGTGGATTTGGAGGAGGTAAGTTATTAGATTTTCTTATGAGGCTGAACTTTGCTGTAATATGACAACTAAATGAATTTCGAAAAATATATGAGATCTCGCAACTTCGTAAGTTCGTATGTTGCGTGTTCATGCCAGCGTTGAGCGTGTCCATTGGTTAGATTTCGATAGTTATTGGAAATGAAACATTTTATTGTTGATTTATTAAAATGTACTCGGGCGTAATCGTAATAGGCAAATCTCATAAGATAACAACAAAAAAAAAAACAGTTGTAGAGTGTTAAGAAACTACTAAAAAACCACTCAACTCTTCACCAATCAACAATCACTCAACTCTAAACCTTATTTTGCAGGTAACGGACTACTTAGACATAATAAAGCAGCCGATGGACTTGGAAACCATGATGACCAAAGTCGACATGCACAAGTATAACTGCGCCAAAGAGTTCTTAGATGACATCGACCTTATATGCGCAAACGCACTCGAATATAACCCGGACAGGTAAGTTGATGATGTAATTTATTATTAATTAAGAATATTATTTTGATCAAGTGAAGATGCAAAGTTATGAGGAGATATAATGAAATGTAAAATGAGTCAAATATGACGCAATTTTAAGAAGTGGTTTGATTTTCATTTAATGTTTATAACTGTATAAGCAAATACAGTTGGTACTTGAGTAACTGAAATCATGATTTTACTAAAATTGTTCAATAGATAACTCGTCTCCTTGTGAATTTCTTCTTACTTCCTTTCTTATAATAATAATAATTAATAATAAACGCGGAAGGCTGTTTGTTTGTCTCGTATTCCCGTCACAACGTAGCATTTACATTATCTTTTTGTTTGGGAATACATTTTTTCCCTTTAATATGCGAGTAAAACCGCGGGTAACAGCTAATATAAATACAATAAGTAATTTTATAAGTCATGTGTGTCCAAATATCGCAAAGAATTCATGCCCTTTGATTTATTAATTTGTTATTCAGTCATTTTAATTTACCCCCATATAACATTACCATTCCATTTACTTAATGGCGTTCACATTATGGCGTAAAGTTTGACTAAAATAGTGATGTGACATCCTCTAAAAGAAAGGTCGATAACATTTTTGGGAGGTATATGGATTTTGGTATTAATTTAAAAAGAAATTAAAAATATGTTAATAATGAGGTTAGCTAATATTATCGAATAGCACCAAGTAGTTACTAAAGCAATCTTATGCCATTATGTGAACAGCCTTTATTTTATAATTTATTTGAACGTGTTTTCTTTCCACATTCCCCCGGCGCCAATCAAAGTGCTAGAGGGATGTATAGGTATGACCAAACCAACGCTTTGTTAATAATAATCTAACATAACACTAATATTAGCAAATAACATAGAACTAATATCATACATTATCTATATCGCTCATAATTTAAAACATAAGTAAATATAAGTACGTTTAAAAATATACACACGGAATTTTTCTAAGAAATATGTTATCAGAATTTAATTTGATGAAATTTTATTAGAAGTATCAGTTGCAAAATAAAATGTTATTTGTAGTCAAATTACATCGATAGATTTAAAAAGTATACAATTTCATCGATAACAACTTTATCGACTACTGTCACTGCTCTAAAACACCGAAAACTTCCGTGTGTACAGAATCTAACGTTATGATCCGATAATTTAAATATTTCGGACAAAATGCATGTAGCGAAATAGCATGTAAGTAGCATAGATAGTGACTAACATAACTATAGACAGAAATAAGTATTTATAAGCTTAGATATAACAATTAGTTTTAGTTTATTATCGACTAATGAAACTAATTTTATGGAGAGATTCGATGGAGGGTATTATGTATTATAGTTACAGTATGGTCATACCCATACATAAAGATTGAATTGACATCAAACACGGTTTATTTCCTAACATTTCTCATCAATATTGGCACAAGTATGGTACAGGTTCTCAATATTAATAAAAAATATTGATAACTCAATTGGGTACTTGCCAACTAGTGAAATTCAATAAGTACTTTTTTCGACGAACTGTCAAAAACGACAGTTTTCTATGAATTTTGTACGAGATTGTGAATTGTGACGTCACGTTTTTTTATGCGTCAAACTGCATACTTATTCCTTTAAAAATTCTGAAACGATACTAAAATTAAGTTGGTCATAAAATCAATTAATGAAAGTGTGACTCTTTTGTAATATTTTATTGTATTAGACAGTCGAAATAATTTATTTTTGATTAAGGAAAGTACCCAATTGTTGCTAGTAAAAGAGTACATATTTATCAAATCTCGTTACCTACTATTGTATTGTTTCATTAATTGAGATCATAAAATTGGTTTCATTTATAACTGAGGTCTTAGTATGGGTTTATTTTACATTTTAAACAATCGAAACGAGTACCAGTTCGGCGCTCTGATTGGCTGGCTCAAATTAACCAACCAATCAGAGCGCACTAAAATAAACTCACTTAAAGTAAGCGCACTAAAACGTAAAATAAACTCGAACTTAAGCCTCAGGGCTTTCAAATAAGTTATTACAATTACAATGCAAAGTAAAGCTGCGTTCTTATGTAGAGACTAATTGCGCGCGCCTTTACCTGTGACATTATATCAGTCATACTTAATAACTGGATCCCAAAATCGATGAATTTATTTTATAGGCAAGTAGATATTCCATCGACAAATACAAATATACACTAAAAATTAAATGGAACTTCTTACGTTGCTTGCCCATTTGAAGTCTTTAAATATGAACAGAGCTTTATACCTAAAAGTAAGAAATACACTCATTTACTACGTATAGTGACTAATACTAATATCGTAAGTGTTATATAGCTGCGGAACTAGCTTATAAGAACTACTTTGAAAAGTAGTTAATTCTATAAAGTATGTAATTTGATTGTGTGGTTGCGTTTTAGCATGATGATAGAGTTTGTGAGGTTTTAATACTAATGTACTCTTATTTAGTATAGCCCCATATTCCAGCAGTGGACGTAAACTACGAGAATATAAAATGTTAAAGATTGTTAATCCTTTATCTGAGTGCCAAGTACGAATAACAATCGCATTCGTAATGTAATAGTATCGAGCGCGGTCGGCGCTCTGAGGCCTAAGTACGAGTTTCTTTTACGTTTAAAGTAATCGTAACGAGTACGCGTTCGGCGTTATGATTGGCCGGCTCCAATGAACCAGCCAATCAGAGCGCCGGACGCCGTCTCATTTCGATTACTTTAAACGAAAAAGAAACTCGTACTAAGCCCTCAGAGCGCCTCTGATTATTTGGTTCACTGGAACCAGCCAATCAGAGGCCTTAGTACGAGTTTGTTTTACGCTTAAAGTAATCGTAACGAGTACGCGTTCGGCGCCGAGAGATTGCCAAACGCGTACTCGTTTCGAATACTTTAAACGTAAATCAAACTCGTACTAAGGCCTCTGATTGGCCGGCGCCAATGAAGCAACCAATCACAGCGCCGAACGCGTACTCGTTACGAATACTTTTAACGTAAAACAAACTCGTACTATGGCCTCTGATTGGTTGGTTTATTGGCGCCGGCCAATCAGATTGCCGAACGCGTACTCGTTTCGAATACTTTAAACGTAAATCAAACTCGTACTAAGGCCTCTGAGCACCGAACGTGCTCGATACTATTACGTTATGAATGCGATAGTCATTCGTGCTTGACACTCTGACTACTTCACTTCTTGATCGATTGCAATTTTGTAACAAATTTAAGAAATGCATAAAAACTAAAATTTAATAAAACAATAAGTAATTGTAAAAAATCTTCACAAACTCTACCAAAACCTTACTTACCATCAAAAATCATCAACAAAATTTTAATAATCATTATTCCTTGACACACAGAACGTCATCAGACAAACAGATACGTCACGAAGCGTGTTCGTTACGTGACCACGCGCACGCGCTTATTGACGTCGAAATGGACAGTGACTTCGAACTGGAGTGCCAGGAGATTGCCAAGAGAAGGCACGAGGAAGGCATGGCGGATAATGACCTACCTGACTTTATTTGTACTGCTTCTAATTTACGTAAGTGTCTTGATAATATTGATTTGTTATTAAAAATTGCATGTAGCCCTTTTTGTTGTTAATTGATACTTACACCGGATTATCTGATGGTAGTCGTTATGGAATCAATTCAATTTTTTTGTAGTAAAGTCAGTTTGGACATTAGTGACGCTAAGAAGGTAAATAATACCTGTTTATAGTAAAAAAATTGTTCATGGTCAGATTCTAAAATAAGTCAAAAAGTAGAAAAATTTTAAATTATTCCAGTCTTAATTTCAGTTTTTTTTTTAATATTCTTAGTACCTATCTTATTTTTGTCCTCTTTACCTATTCTAACTAATATCACAATGTGCAATGTGCAATACTTTTGTAATGTGATAAAAATTATATTCGTACTTTTTATAACAGATCACTTCGACTCGATAGTGAGCGATAAGTCGCGGACGCCACAGAATGGCGACAAGAGTGATCCGCATTCAGTAAAGCGCAAGCGTAGACGCATGAACGCGTGGTCCAAGGGGCTGGTTGTGAAACGACAGAAGACTTCAAAGGTAAGATGTCCGGATATAGACTGTATTTTTACATTTTTCACATTAAAAGCTGTAACAGTCAACTCTTGGACTATAGACCTCTGCAATTTTAGATGGGTCTGATATAATAATTTTCACACTTGGTAGGCGGTATGAAAATCGCACTATAAAAGGTTCAGGAATATCAGAGGGTGTTGCTCATGTCTATTTAAAAGAATATAACATAACATCACGCCTTTTATCCCCGAAGGGGTAGGCAGAGGTGCACATTATGCCACTGTACAATGTAACACCCACTTTTCAATATTTATGTTATGAGTCCCATGTAATAGGGGGTGAGCCTATTGCCATATACCGGGCACAATTCCAGAATCCGTGCTACTACTGAGAATTAAAAAAAACCCAGTAGTACTTCGCCCGACCCGGGAATCGAACCCGAGACCCCTTGACCGGCAGTCGCACTTGCAACCACTCGGCCAACGAGGCAGTCATAGCAATAAAAGAATATGTAGTCTCTTATTCGGCTTTTACGCATACCCACGCAAAGAGTAGAGATGTGGTGATAAATGTATCACTATTTTACACAGAACAATACCTTATTACTTATCAATACTTGTCAATTAACATTATTCTCTGTTTCATCCCTACAGAACTTCAAAGACTCAAGTATGGCGATAACAGACGAAGAATCAAAAGAGAACAAGCCGATCACATCGACTCCACTCCCCAACGGTGAAGTGAGCACGTCATCTGGCAGTGATGACGACGCACCACTCCGCCGGCCGCAGGACAATGACACCATATTCAATATATCGGCGCAAACTGTCGTACATAATCATGTGCTGGAGAGGTAAGAGATTTCGTTAAAGGGTGTCTTAAGGCTCAAGTGAATAGGTTACTTATGGGTAGACGTACTTCATCGTAGACCGCATCATCGCTTACCACCAGGCGAGATAATGGCCAAACGTCGACATCAAATATAGTTGGCATAAAAAAGGAAATAAATTGAGTATTATATATTAATTTACCAAGTTCTATTCTGACTATAACAAACATGTGATAACCATTTAAGTTCGGCAAACGAAATGTGGTAACTGTCCAAAGTTGGCAACATTGTTTTCTGCGTTCGAAATATACCTCCTTCCTCGCTTCCTGTTTGATAACGATTCAAAGTTAATAAAACCATTCAAAATTAAGAATACTGTAAAAATACGTCGCTGGAAGAAACTTAAAGGTCTATCTATCGCAATTACTCCATCTCAAGTTTTGTCTTTTGTATGATACTATTAAGTGTACAATGTAATCTTTATCTCATTTGTTTCCAGTCCCACGAAGTCGACAGAAAAGACACCCTCAAAGACATCACCAAAGAAGAGAAATTCAGGCCACGAAAATACGAGTGCAGGTTTGTACTTATGTATATCTAATAACAATTATAACCGTATGGGTTATAATTGTTATTATACAAATATAAATTAAGTTCAAAATTGATTAACAAACCCATATTTTTATATTGAAATCCTTTACCTAGATTCAGTACGCATTAACAACTAACCATCTCCATTTTCTCAATTCCAGAAACGGAGAAAGTACTGATAAACAAGACTGAGTTAGATAACGTTGTATATAAGAACGCGAAGTCACTTCGGACGATCGGGCTTGAAGCGCTACTGGACTTGCACGCGCAACTGTCGCAAGTCGTCTCAAGTTACGCCACTAAACTCGACCGGACTAAACTACCACAGGACTTGAATACAATCGTCACGAGGTACTTGCAGTATGCGAAGAAATGAAGAGTTTAAGTTATGTTTGAAGTTTCGAACTCATAAAGTAAGCCTGGTTATTTGTACAAATGGGTAGTTCTAGAAAATTGTTTGGCCTAGTACGAGCTCTTTTACGTTAACGCGATCATTGATCGGCGCCCTCATTGGTCAGCTGTAATTAACCAACCAATCAAGAGGGTTTGTTTTGATCGCGTTCACGTAAAACAATTCGCACTAGACCCTCCGATTGTAAGAGGATGTTTGGGTAAGAAACTCTTGTTGTTTGAGTTTATTTTTCTTTGTTGTAAGTGATTTGAGGATGTTTGCTAATGTTGAGAAAGAATAGATCAAATCGAGTTCTCGTAATTTCGTATTAATAATGTTAAATGAACAATCTATTGTACGGAGAGATGGCTTAAAGGGAACGTATTACAAAGTTATTAATTTTAAACCAAGTTTGTTTTACAGCATCGAATGTATTCGATTTCGTCATTTAATTGATATGGTATCGAGTTAATCGATATTGTGTCTAATCGGTTTACCATTAGTATTAACTGCCATCAGTATAGGTAGTAGATGAAAGTTTGGAATATAACATTCCATAATTTATATCAAATAGATCATATCTTAAGCGCCTTGTCCGACATTATTTAAAACGTATAAAATATGTTTCAAATATAAGTTACAGACGATATTTTCATACATGTAACGTACATTTTCTGAAGGTGCGCAAGCGCAGCATATAATAATTATTGACTCTTAATTAATTTAATAATCGTATCTTTTTCTTAATTTAATTAATAATTTAATTTTAAAGACATTTAGAAAATTACTTTTTATAAACTAGTATTTATTGTCAGAATTCCATTTCAAAACTACTTTTATAAAACAACGAGATGGTGTATTTGTAATGGACGAGGCGCTTATAATTCAGCCAGCATCCTTCGGCGGACGGTCATGCAAAGGATTTTGAAACTTAATTAAACGAAATAAAGTTTACATTAAACAATGGGGTTGTGATGTGCATTCGCCAAAGTTGTCTGGCTTTAGGGTGGAATTTAGACAAACTATTACACACTTTCATTTGAAACATAATCCTGCAATAGGTTTACTGACTTTAGGGTTAAGGGTAGTCTGCAATAAGGGCTTTGAACTTATACATAACGGCAATTATTTTGGGTAAACATTGCCATCAAGCTTTCAAAAAGCAAAAATAATTTAATTAATTTCGATTTTGAACGAAGCCTACATAAAATTGGTAGAAAAAGGCTAAACAAGAGTAAAAAATACTTTTTTTTTCTTACGTAAGTTTCCTATCTTCTAGAAAGTTCTAGAAGCAAATGGATTGTCTATATTCCACTGCAATAATTTAAAAAGACGAACGAGTTGTGGTCCTTTGAAGGACATATACCGATCACTGCCTACTAGGCTTTGCGAATAGTTATTATAACGAATAAGTATGTGTTAAATTCCATACAAATTTGACATACGATAATCTACTTAACCGTCTTCATAATACAGTCGAAATTTTGTTAACATTGATGTGATTGTACGGTATGATGTTTTCGGCTCTATTGTAGGGACGTTAAAGTTGGTTTTGGTTTGTCTAGTTTGTATTGGTCTGTAATAGTCGAATATTAACCATTCCTAATGAGCCAAATTGTGTGAGATTACCAATATTTTATGTTTGATTGTAATGCTATTGGTTTTAATGGAATCCTATTATAGAACATTTTAGTCGGGTTTTTTGCTTAAATTACTTAATAGAAAGGGCTATGTTGCACTAATTAAGTGATTCAAACCTACTAGAACATTTATAGTAAGAGAAAATAATATAAGAACTTTTCAATTGGATTAATTCAGATAATTTTTTTCTTATCTTTAAGGAAATTTTTATTTTAAGTTTCGGCCCGAATATAGACCGTAATATTATATAGGTAAGGTTTTTTATAAAATATCACATAATTATTTAAACTTGTGACGCATTCAGAGTCACAAGTATTACACACACTCTCTCTCATCATCACAAGTATTACACTGGTTCAATAATAAAAATATCAATCTAAATGAATACACTGATGACTAGGCCGCGCACGTAAGGTCGGGACTACAAACATAAAATAAATAATTGTCTTGTTTAGATTTTACGAGCAAACTTGTAATTTATTACATTGCAGTACAGAGTCATTATACAGAGGTTTTATGTCTCAATAATGACACGATTGATTCACTTTATTAATTGATTTACTTGATATTTATGCTGTTCTGCTCTTAAGGATCAAAGTCAAAATCATTTATTTCACTTATACCCGGAAGGCACCTTTGAACGTCAAAAACAAAATATTGAAATATTAAAAAACATCGCACATCACTTCTTTATCGAATCTTTGTCAAATGTATAGTTCCTTCGTCAGTTCGACACCCGCAAAAAAAGAAGGGATGATTAAAATTTTTTTCTCTGCGGTCCCACAATAGCCAATAGCATTACAATGAATCCTAGGTTAGGATTAAAACTACAAGTGAAACCCGCTGGTCTGTGATATGTACAGAAGGCTTATATTTCAATGTATATACGTAACTCTCTCTGCTAGGCGCGCTTGTTCTATACAGCGTGATTCTATTTGATTGGCCGACGAACAAAACGCATTGTCGTCTTTTGTTTTCGAATTTAAAAATTAGAATATCGAATTCGAAGACTTCATATTTTACATTGTAGTGGCATTTTGTTTTAATCTGATATATATAAAATTTTAGCTATGGACTGTCCTATCGTATTAGTAAAATTCCTGGTACTCGTTGTCCTTGACAATTCACGGGATCCTATGCGTTGAATAAATTGACGTAGTATCCATTTATGTAATGTTTAAAAATGTGATGTGGAATGCAAAATAATTATGATTTAAATATTTGCATGTACTAATTTTCCTAATCCAACGGCCAATCAAATGGACTATAAACCTATATTCTCCTATTAGGATAAAATAAAAACAATATATAATAAATAATTGTAATAATATTCAAACAAAATTGTGAACAATTTGGCTTTTTAGGCGTGAACAAAAATCTTATTATAATTATTGCACTGATTTGCGATTTTGATTTTAAATAAAATTTACCAAATAAGCTGAGTTAATCTTGCTTAATTTAGAATAAGGTTGTACTAACATTAACGTAATTATTAAAAAAATATTCTAATTAATGTTCAATTTGATTTTTTAAGTTTAAATTATTATTTTGTTTCTGTGAAGTTAGAGTTGTGTTCCCTATCACTTGGGGCATAACTGGGAGTTTAGTACGGGTTTACGTATAACATGATCGACATGTTAATGACGTTCGGCGCCCTGATTGGCTGACTCCAATGAACCAACCAATCAGAGCGTCGAACGCGGTAACGTTTCAATTTCGTTAAACGTAAAACTAACGCGTACTCTGAAGCGCGTACGCGTGTGAAGTCGGTGTTACATTGTCTATGCGCAGCCCTTCGGAGGTTGAAAGTCGTGATGTTATGTGTAGTAGAGTTGTGTCCATCCGAATTTAATGGAAAAATGGAATGTTTAGCGTGTCTTTGGAATTATTAATGTTTAAATAGCGAATGTTTAAGATATGATATGAAATGTTAATGTTATTGGTGTGTTCGATGGCCATTTTGAATAGTCATTTAATTAATTATTATGTTTTCGGCTTACTCACGTCACTGTTTGACGTGGAACTCGACCAGTAGCAGCGCGACAGCTCATGAATATGAGCCTCTACCATGGCTCGAAACTAGTCGAGTTCCTCGTTAAACAGTTACATAAGTAAGTCGAAAATATAATAATTGATTTAGTATGTCCTACGAAAGTTATTATATTGTCATTTAATGGATGTGTTTCGCGGAAACGTAATGTTAGGATAATGTAATGATTGGCTTATACACTACTTCTTTTAAGTAACCACTATTGTATATGATATTTAATGGGAACTTATTTGGAGGAAGTGTTAATGGCCCGTTATCTATGTTCTTATAGAACACAAGTAAATAAAAATAACGCGAATGTATTTGCAAAATTATTGTAACATTAATACGACATTGTGTGTCCATGAAGTATTTTTGACATTAATCTCAAAATAGTCTCTAATTATAAAACCGTAAGGAGTATTTTTAAAAACAAATGATTTATAGACATTTCACTTTAATTATTGTCTAGTGATCATATTTTGTGTTCGACATCTATTAAACTCTAACGGCAAAATAAATGTCAAAACTATTCCACGGACACACAATTTGATACTCTATAGCTAGCCTGTTAAGGGCTATTTTTACTTCTTGTGTTCTATTCCAAGGCCGTAGATGCGTCAATTGTAAGGGTTACGTGTGTAATTGTCATAAACATTATCTAATTAAACAAGGACAATCGTATTGTCGATTAAGTAAATGTGTAGTGAATAATGGCAGGTTTTAATGATTATGAACCTTATTACAGATGAACCAAGGTCCATTTCTCTTTCACAGCATGATTGCTGAATAATTTGCACCTTAAAGCAGTCTTTGGTAAGGTTCAAAATTGATTATCAAAACTGCCCGAAAGACAGGGAAATACAGAATCTTATTCCAAAATAAGATTATATACGTGTTGTGAATGGTCTGATTTGAACTAAGAGCGAATCGAGTAAGTGCATGTGAAATTGACCTTTATTTACCTTTCATTAAGTGCTCTAATCGCAGTTATAGTTTAAGAAGTAAATGTTTTAAATTGTGACTGTTGTAAGAGTCCTTCAGTAATAATCTCCTTGCTTATAAGATTGACCTAAATATTATAGTGAATAGATTTTTATAAAATAAGAAACGATTGGTCCAGTATCTTAGACGACACGAAGTATTATTTTTTACATAACAAGACATTTCATATTGGTTAACGTCTGTTGGCGCTAGTAACCCATACGGTCTCTCCAAACCTAACCGGTATATAGCTTGAAATTAACAGTCTGTAGGTAGAGAGACCAAAATCTACACTAGCGCCACCAGTAACTTCTCTCACAACATTCGAAAA